AAGAGCGAAGTTACACCATTACACAGGCTTAAGGAAATGTGTTAGGCATTAGCTGAAAGAAGAACACAAAAGAACAAGAGAAAACGAAAGAAGATTTCCATGTCTTTCTGTGTAAACTCTGAAGAGAAAAAGAAATAAAGTTTTATCGTTTATGCTTATTCTATTCGTGTGTACCATGCATTCAATTTTGTTTTCTCGCGAGACCTAAAAGACCAGGAAAACGGAAATTCTTTTGAATATTGTTTCGTTTATGCTCATGTTCATTCTAATCCTTCATTTATTCTGTCTTGTTTCACAATTAATAATCACTTTTGCTTGTGCTGTAAGACTAGTATGACCAAAGACAGCACCAAAAGCACCTTCTCGTGCAGTAATATAAGAGTGCTTCTTGCGCTCATATCTTGTGTAAAATTAAAACAAAATCTAATTTACATTAAATCAATCATCATGGTTGAAAAGAGAAATTGCAATACGCTGGCAGAGTATTGCAAAATCTTTAAACTCAACATCTATGCGAAATGATTATCACGAGCCAGTCAGACTAGCCGTCTACTTTGAATATTTAATGGTTTATTTGTGCCTATGATTGCACTGTTATAATATTGAGGGATGTTATAACAGTGTCTACAAAGCAATAAAAAATTTAACTTCCGGTGATGTTCTAATGTTTGGTAAATGATTTAGCCAAAATAGCTATTTTGCATGATTGTATAGAACTATTGCAATCATAAAGATAATTCCTCGGGAGAGGAAACTGTTTCCAAATTTTCGAATCCAACTTGAGGGCTCGTCATGAATGCTCGTCTGTCCATTATGTTCAATGGAGATGATTGACTTCGTTTGAAAAATCTGACAGTAACTTTTGTGCCATAAAAGTAAACCTTTCCTGTAAATGTTTGCAGTTTACAGCTGTTTTCTGAAATCATCGTAAAGTACCAGTTTTGATAGAAATTTCGACAGATCGTCTGCAAACACTGGTTTTTGAAAATTTATATGCTCCTACAGTTCGTCATGATTGTATTTTAACATTATTCTTACAGTTATTCATGGCACTGAACGATGAAGATTGAGACTGCGGTATGTGTTTGTTTGTCAGTTGTTTGCTTGTTTGCTTCATCATACTGCAACTTTTTCCTCAGTATTTTTCAGATGCAGAGGTCGATAAGATCAAGAATAGCAGAACAGAGATGTAAGCATGTATTTGTTTGTATCGTTCATCAAATCTTCTTTGCTTCAATTTCTTTCAGAACCACATTGCCGTAACCTGTCATTGTCAAGCAACGCTTCTTGCAGTAAGTTAAACCAATATTTATTACTTATTTTTGGAGAAGATATTAAAATTTAAAGAAGGCATGTTTCGAGAAGACAAAATTTTCGACTTCCATTCTTCGGTGTTTGCAGATGATCATAAACATGCAAAAACACAAAACATGCACATAAAAGATTTTTACAATATTCTAACTAAACTAGAGAGTTCCCTCGCTCTCTAATTTAGTGAAGAATTTCAAAAGAAATTCAAGTATTCCAAAAGAGACTTCTGCCACCTATTTTGAAATAACTTGCACAAAATTTCAAGCAGCGTACACTTGATATTCTCATAGAAATTTTTTGTAATTAAAATAAGATCATACGTATGTAATATAAAATTTGACTAAATCAAAACAATTTTTCAAATGATAGCCAAGTATTCGAAACTTCGATGTAAACTAATAGAATTTGTATGAATACAATTAATAAGAACTTACTGTTTGTTCATTCTTGGAGGAAGATTGGGTGGTTGGAAATGGCATTAATTTTTTGGGAAACGGATGTTTTATATGGACCGTTTACATTCTATATAATAAGTCGTTCATGTTTTGATTGACGTTGTCAGTCAGTGAATTGTAAGTCAAGATGTATCAACTATGAAATACAACCGGAAATCCTTATATATATGTGTCTCTATGTATTGTGTTCAAGAGTAAAACAATCTTCCTTATTATATTACATTTACCATTCACTATGGTATTTGCTATCTTTAGAACTATGTATTATTTCTTTCTCTACAATGTTGTCGCTTTTACAGGAGTAAAAGCACGAAAATATTTATATGACATGAACAAACTTGCTTGATGACAACTTTGCTCAGTCAAATACTTATTATCTATCAATTACGTATTTACAGAAGTCTTGATTTGAACTACATTTATGCGTTTATTTGCTAAACCTAGTCTTCCCCAATGTTGTTTTCTTCTTATTTCAGACATCCTAATGTAATTATATTGACAACATCGAACATAACTAGAGCCATAGACGTTGCGTTCGTGGACAGGTTGAAAATATGTTTGTGACTCGAAAGTTTTTTAATTCACTTTCTCATCTAACTTCGCTATTTGTTCGCCCACAGAGCCGACATCAAACAGTATATTGGTCCGCCATCAGCCAAAGCTATTTACAAAATTTACCATTTGTTTGTATGTAACTTATGTCTTCTTGTGCACGTGATCAACGAAATGGCTGCCGGTCAATTATGTTTTCTGGCCAAAAGGAACGCCGAAATGGCTTACCGCAACCTGTCATCATATACAATATAAAACAACAATTTGCCTCGTGAAGTATATCCCCTCTTCTCAGTACTTTGTACCTTTACGTCTACTGCTTTATTTCCATACCACAATATAGTCGTTTGTGCAAGTTATACAAACATGTTGCTTAAATAGAGAGGTGTGCAGCTATATAGAAATTGATTGCAAACGATTGCATTGTAGATAATTTTTTAATAATCAAAATTAATGTTCACCGTTTCATCACAGACCAGTATCATATCACCAGCCACTCAAATTTTGGATTTAAGGTACAACTGAAAAATACACGAAATTTTATTTTGACGAAAATTGACGGTGTTTGTTAGAAATTTTTTTGTTCACTTCTATGTTGATGACATGGTTTTCTTTTCCGATGTACAACTTTTTTTCCCTATTTTCCATTGTAGCTTTGTCGACAACGATGTAACACACTGTAGTCTTGAATTAAAGAAGATAGCCGAGTAAGTGAAGTAGATGTTTGTAGATGTAGATCGTCGAGGTTAGTGGTGTCCTGCGAAGGACTGTTGATGTTGATGTTGACTGACTTCTTAACAACCTTAGCGGTAGTCATCTTTAGAGTCAGCATCAACAACAACAGTTCTTTTCAGGACTTTACTAACCTGGACGATCTACATCTACAAACATGTAACGATACTCCCATGTTCAAACCTTTCACTTTAAAGTAAAGTGATGTCACAGAGTAAAATAAACATTTCTTGTCTTAGTTTATGGTAAATATTATGTCACCCAGTCTTCATGTTTTCAAGTTAGTATTCTTCTCGTTTTACAAAGAAAACGAAACTACGCCCGGGGGATTTTCAGAAGTTGTCTGAACCCTGGCAGTATGTTCTAGTTTCTTTTATGAGAAGAATTCTTGTAAAGAAAAAAGACAAATTTTGAAAGGAAAAACCCGTTTTCGGTCCATGCTTCCCGATACCTTCTTAAGCGTAAGGCACTAAAACGCGGCATGTTAACGTTTCGGTAGCAGATTTCGGCCCCTCCACGCTATCCTACTTGGGAGATGCAATAGCAAGCTTCCGCCCATCAGACCCGAGATCACCTGCGATAGGCTTTGCTCGGGGTACGCAGGAGAGTGCGGTCGCCACCGAAGTGTGGACCCTAAGCCACTGCATACTATATCGCACCCAGCTTCCACTGCTAGTTGACATCTACTATATGAAGCTATAGATTTATATTTATATATACAAAATTTAGAGGCTTACGAAATTTGTGGTATTATTAAAGTCACAACTGCGCATGCCCAGATAATTTCTTTGATAATTTGCGATTAAGTGGGATAATTGCCCCAGATGTAGTGCAAGTACATCTAGTTAGTCGTTGCCATGACTATAAACAATTAGTCGAGTGGGCTGCGCATGCTCGAGCGCATGCGCAGATGATTTCTCCATTAAATTGTTACTAAACATGCTATTTACTTCAAAATCGGGGCTAGTAGATGCAATTGGTCGTTGCCATGACCATGAACATTGGCAGCCAATCAATTTAACTGCGCATGCTCAGTTGATATCTTTAATAGTTTGTTAATAAGCAAGTTATATACTCCCAATTGATGCTAGTAAATGTAGTTGGTCGTTTCCATGACTATCAACTCGGACAATTGGTCAAGTGGACTTTGCATGCTTGAGCGTGCTGCGCATGCCCAAGCGTACTGCGCATGCTCAGATGATCTTCTTATATTTTTGTGACCAAGCGATTAATTACTCAGTAAGTGATGAAAATAGGTCCAGCTTGTTGTTGCCATCACTATGAATATGAAAAATTTGTTAAATGACTAAATTTCTCATTATGATTGAAATTTATGATTTCCCAATATGTGACCAAGTGAACCACAGAAGGATGCAAGCTTGTTCTGTTTGTCATTGCCATGATTGTAAACTCGAACAGTTTGTTGAGTTGTTTGTGCATGTTCAGATGAGTTCTCAAATAATTTAGGACTGAGGTTTAAAATATACCGTCTTAATACTTGCAACATAAATAAAATTTAACTTTGTATTACATCTACATTTAAGGCGTAAAGATGTTTTTTTCTTTGTTATCGTAGTCAGTAGTTATCAAGTAATGGACCACTCTCAAATAATCACGAATATTGGTTGACTTTTGGTTAGGTTTCTTTGGGAGGCCCTTCTCCTTTTGAACTTGCAAGGAGCAGTCAAGCGTCTCACTGTGATAAACCTACGAAGTATTCTTTCTCTCATTTTCTTGTTTAGAAAAAGTTATCAACTAAGTGGTCGAACTCTTCGTAAACTACCATTCCTTGCACATGCGCTGTACTCAAAAGTAAGTAATACGAATTAAAGCCTTCACCCGTGTTCTTTTTGTTGTACATGCATGTACTTATATTGTCCCTCAAACCTTCGTAATAGGCGCAAACGATAACCTTAGAAGAGTTTTTGAATAAGCGTGCAAATGTGATCTTTCTAGCGATTGTATACTTTTTATACATTCATAGTAATATTTTGGATATGTTTTGTTGAAGATTAAGATTTTTGTATTGCTCAATTTAAGTTCAATAAGTAACATAGATCACAAAGTTTGCTAATTTATATTGATGCTTTAAGACTCCTTACATGACGTTTCCGCAACACACCCGAGGTCAAAGTTCGTATATATTAAAATGCAACAATGTGTATAGTTCGTTATTGAGGATAATGTATAGATTATTTTACATAGGGAAAGATATTTATACGCTATAGTTAATTGTAACTGTTTAATTTCAACTTATGTTTACATTAAATGACATCCTTAAGCCAACTTTACTAATATTGATCGCTATTTTCGTGTTATACATCTATAATCATCTTGTTGTTAAAGATTTGAAGCTTTGCTGCGATAATACAGGTTTGTACAGCTATCTCATCTTTGTTTGTTGCCTGCCTGATAGCATGTCGACTCCGGGGACCAGATTTTTTATCGTGATTTATATGACATTATAGATTGTCGTACGTCTATCTAATATCTTGAGTATAAACGATATGTTTTGAAAGATGAGTTTACATATACTCTAGCGTAGTGTCTTCATCAGGAGTGATCTGATGTTGAAACTTGAGTCTTTATATACTCCAGTCTATGTCTTCATCAGGAGTGATCTGATGTTGAAACTTGAGTCCTTATATACTCCAGTCTTATGTTTTCATCAGGAGTGATCTGATGTTGAATCTTGAGTCCTTATATACTCCAGTCTAGTGTCTTCATCAGGAGTGATCTGATGTTGAAACTTGAGTCCTTATATACTCCAGTCTAGTGTCTTCATCAGGAGTGATCTGATGTTGAAACTTGAGTCTTATATACTCCAGTCTTATGTTTTCATCAGGAGTGATCTGATGTTGAATCTTGAGTCCTTATATACTCCAGTCTAGTGTCTTCATCAGGAGTGATCTGATGTTGAATCTTGAGTCCTTATATACTCCAGTCTTATGTTTTCATCAGGAGTGATCTGATGTTGAATCTTGAGTCTTATATACTCCAGTCTAGTGTCTTCATCAGGAGTGATCTGATGTTGAAACTTGAGTCCTTATATACTCCAGTCTAGTGTCTTCATCAGGAGTGATCTGATGTTGAAACTTGAGTCCTTATATACTCCAGTCTTATGTTTTCATCAGGAGTGATCTGATGTTGAATCTTGAGTCGTTATATACTCCAGTCTAGTGTCTTCATCAGGAGTGATCTGATGTTGAATCTTGAGTCCTTATATACTCCAGACTAATGTCTTCATCTGGAGTGATCTGATGTTGAATCTTGAGTCCTTATATACTCCAGTCTAGTGTCTTCATCAGGAGTGATCTGATGTTGAATCTTGAGTCCTTATATACTCCAGTCTTATGTTTTCATCAAGAGTGATCTTTTATTGAAACTTTCGCTAGTGTTATTTAACCATGTTATCTAAAAACTTTATCCTACATAGTCCATTTTGTATTTGTGTTTCCACTTGTTTTCTTTAATGTTTTAAAATAATGTTCTTGACAGCAGAGAATTATTCTCATTATGATTTGGTCGTTGGAATACTTTCATCGCGCGGCAACTTTGATTTGAGGCAAAGTTTACGTGAATCATGGGTTGGCTATGCAAGACGACATTCATCTCTAAATAAAAGGTAAGCACAGGGAAAACACTGAATTTTCTTGAGGGTAGCTGTAGTGTGTTTTGTATTCAATTAGAGCTACTTAGCGTGTGAAACGTTACAGCAAACACAATATTTGTGAAGGTAAAGTGTAGAACAGTGTTTCAAATTGGCCTGTCGCGTTTACAACGAATTTCTTTAATACCAGAGAACGTTTACAACGTATTTCTTCAATACCAGAGAACGTTTACAACGTATTTCTTCAATACCAGAGAACGTTTACAAAGTATTTCTTCAATACCAGAGAACGTTTACAACGTATTTCTTCAATACCAGAGAACGTTTACAAAGTATTTCTTCAATACCAGAGAACGTTTACAACGTATTTCTTCAATACCAGAGAACGTTTACAACGTATTTCTTCAATACCAGAGAACGTTTACAACGTATTTCTTCAATACCAGAGAACGTTTACAACGTATTTCTTCAATACCAGAGAACGTTTACAACGTATTTCTTCAATACCAGAGAACGTTTACAACGTATTTCTTCAATACCAGAGAACGTTTACAACGTATTTCTTCAATACCAGAGAACGTTTACAACGTATTTTTCAATACCAGAGAACGTTTACAACGTATTTTTATACCAGAGAACGTTTACAACGTATTTCTTCAATACCAGAGAACGTTTACAACGTATTTCTTCAATACCAGAGAACGTTTACAACGTATTTCTTCAATACCAGAGAACGTTTACAACGTATTTCTTCAATACCAGAGAACGTTTACAACGTATTTCTTCTATACCAGAGAACGTTTACAACGTATTTCTTCAATACCAGAGAACGTTTACAACGTATTTCTTCAATACCAGAGAACGTTTACAACGTATTTCTTCAATACCAGAGAACGTTTACAACGTATTTCTTCAATACCAGAGAACGTTTACAACGTATTTCTTCAATACCAGAGAACGTTTAAAACGTATTTCTTCAATACCAGAGAACGTTTAAAACGTATTTCTTCAATACCAGAGAACGTTTACAACGTATTTCTTCAATACCAGAGAACGTTTACAACGTATTTCTTCAATACCAGAGAACGTTTACAACGTATGTCTTCAATACCAGAAAACGTTTACAACGTATTTCTTCAATACCAGAGAGCGTATACAAAGTATTTCTTCAATACCAGAGAACGTTTACAACGTATTTCTTCAATACCAGAGAACGTTTACAACGTATGTCTTCAATACAAGTGAAATGTTTGGTAAACTAATCTGATTACCGATATGAGTAACGTTTTAGCAATTGTCAGATCTACGTAGAATCGAATTGGACATTTTTAGCTGACCGCCATTCTTTAAGTAGTGTAGCGTTGTGCGTTTCTATGATGGCCTATTGAATATACCAACAGCAAGGTCTTTAGTTTCGTTTATCAGTTTTGTTCTACACAAGAACAACTCATGCAAACTGCATTCTTTGTCATATGATAAATTTAACTGTGTTGACTAACGTCATTGTATTGAGGCTAAACTCGAATATTCACAAGAAATAACGGTTCACGGTACACTTGCCTAAAATATCCCTTTCTTTGCTGTGGTTTTCTTGGCCAGAGTTCCCAACAACCGTTTCTGTCGCAAAAAAAAATTGTACCAGTGATATAACTAAGTACAATGACTAAATCTGAAAAAATAAAGTGTTGGTTACTATTCCATTGTTGTTTTAGAGTGTTGGTGAAGTTCATCGTTTCAAATAATGCATGTTACGTTCCTCCAGAGTTCAGCATTGATCCTTACAAATGCGAAAGAAAGAAAATCGAATCTCCAAGTTTGAAAATTTACTTTTGATTTGATAGTTGTGAGGTTTGGCGCCTGGAAAAAGCCGATATAAAACAATATGACGTTGGAATCTCGATGCAGGCGATAAACTAACGAGGCACATATTTACAAACGTCGAACATAACCTACTATACATGTGATATTTAAAGTTAATCAGTTGCGGATTACTCATTACGAAAAGTAAACCAAGACATTGTTAGTTTTTACTTTTTGCTGCTTGGAACTTGCTAAAAGTGCCGTTTTTAGACCATTTATGATGTTGAAAACCGTACGTGCGATTGAATATCGACGAAAAAGACTTTCGTACCATCTAGTGTTTAAATGCGCGAGGCTAAGAACTGACGAGGATTTCCCTATTTCTGCAGACTGTTTTGATAATTTTTAAAGTTTATTTTGAACTATTAATTTCTTTTGTATCGTTCACACTATGTGTTACAAACGCAAGCTAGGAAATGCAAAGGCAAAGGAACGTAAAGAACGCAAACGTTGTCAAGAGACTGAGCTTAGTGGAGGGATTAAATATCACCAGGCCTCGTAATTTTGCCTTAGCCTACATGCTCCATAATTATTAATCAGCCACTGCTGCGAATTTATCATTGCTGTATGTATTTGTAGCGAAGATCAGACAGTCTTGATGGAAATATGTGTTGCTATCTCTCATGGAGATTTTACCGTCATAGAGGCTGGAACGAGTGCATGATCAAACGTGTTTATATGTTTGTCATATTGATGTTTAGACTACGAAAATGAAGTAATTGCTTACAAACGAGCAAATGAAGAAAATTTGAGATATTTTCACAGTGGATCTATCGGATGGGACTTTGATGTGAGTATTAGTTAGTTATTTGTAGCCATTAAGAACTGCTCAACGGACACTGTTGCATTGAACTTTTGGGACCTTCTGAACAAAGTCTGAAACCTGTTGCATAAAGTGTCTGTTTGGCTTCAGGAGTAAAATTTGGGTTGGCAATACAATACAATTATTTTTATACAGATCATCCGTCCCATTATTTTGACTCGTCTTGGCATCTCTTTATCATCGTTGAATTCAAAAAGAAACTCTTCTGTTCGACTCTACGACAGAACAACTAAGGTTAAACCATGCAGTTTATAAATACCGTTTACAAGTTATTTGATCTAAATTGTTTTATCTCGTTTCAGAGCGAAATTATATCTGTTTATTTCTCTTTCCAAGACCCTGGTACAACAGAAAACGGTTCGTCGTTTAAAGCAATTGAAAACTTTATTTTGCCAAAGGTGAGTAACAAGTCGATAATTTATCAAAATATTCAAGTGAATTGTTTGAGCTCGGGAGTATCGTTATCATGTTTGTACAGGTTAGTAGAGTGCTGAGAAGGGCTGTTGGTGTTGATGTTGACTGATGTTTCGACAACCTTAGTGGTTGTCATCTTCAAAGTCGAGTGAGGAGTAAACGTCTGCAAGCAGATAACAAATATGGCAAACCTGACGTTTACTCCTCACTTGACTCTGAAGATAACTACCACTAAAGTTGTCGAAACGTCAGTCAACATCAACACCAGCAGTCCTTCTCAGGACTCTACTGACCTGATTTAAACGATACAAATGGCTTGGCTTATTAAATGCTAACTTTGTAAAATCTATTATAAGAATTAGATAATCCATTTTTCCATGAAGCTCATGGATACTTTTGTTCATGATATGAGAGTTATATTGTATAAGGAGGCTCTCGTTCATCACGAGAGTTATGAGATAGTTACCTTGTAAAAGTTAACATGTAAAAGCGTATAAACATATTTACAGTTGGTTTAAATTATAAGTCATTAAGGCGGAATTTTTTAACTTTTGCAATATCCTTGAATGTTCTAGTTTCTTTTATACAAAAAAAGATTAAATTCAAAAGCAAAACCCGTTTTCGGTCCATGCTTCCCGATACCTGCTTAAGCCGAGGCACTAGAACGCCGCATGTTAACGTTTCGGTAGGAGATTTCGGCCCCTCCACGCTATCCTACTTGGGAGATGCAATAGCAAGCTTCCGCCCATCAGACCCGAGATCACCTGCGATAGGCTTTGCTCGGGGTACGCAGGGAGAGTGCGGTCGCGACCCGAAACGTCTGGACCCCTAAGCCACTGCATACATATCGCACCCAGCTTCCACTGCTAGTTGACATCTACTATACCTAATATTGGCTTTATATATATATACAAAAATTCAGAGGCTTACGAAAGTTGCGGTATTATTAAAGTCACTACTGCGCATGCCCAGATGATTTCTTTGATAATTTGCGACTAAGTGAGCTAATTGCCACAAATATAGTGCAAGTACATATAGTTAGTCGTTGCCATGACTATAAACAATTGGTCGAATGTACTGCGCATGCACCTGCGCATGCGCAGATGATTTATCCATTTAATTGTTACTAAGCATGCTATTTACTTCAAATTCGGTGCTTGTAGATGCAGCTGGTCGTTGCCATAACTATGAAGTCAAAAACTGTCAAGTGAACTGCGCATGCTCAGTTGATATCTTTAATAATTTGTTAGTAAGCAAGTTATCTACTCCTAATTGATTCTAATAAATGCAGTTGGTCATTTCCATGATCGTTTACTCAGACAATTGGTCAAATAGACTTTGCTTGTACTGCGCATTTCCAAGCGTACTGCGCATGCTCAGATGATTTTGCGTACATTTATGTGACCAAACGATTTAATCACTCAGAAAGCGATGAAAATAGATCCAGCTTGTCGTTACCATGACTATGAAATTGAAAAATTTGTCAAATGGACTGTGCAGACTCATATGAAGTTTAAAGCCTAGTGCCAAACACTAATATTCCCTCACCAAATATTAAAAGAAAAGATGGTACAATGCTTTATGAATAAATTTCTTTAAAGTCTGTAGCAACTTGCAATCCTCCGTAGATTCTCCGGGAAGAGAGTCGTGACAAAAGAGGAAGAAGAAACTCGAATGTCGGAGTGGCAGCGATTGAAAGACGATGAGAATGAACGTTTACTTAAAGAAAGCAGAACTATTTCTGATATTCTTTTGTTTCAAATGTCGATGTTTACAGAAATCTTCCATCCCAGTTGCTTCAGTTTTTCTCGTGGTAAGAGAGTGTCTGAGACTTTTATATTTTTCATGCCACTGTGAAATTTCTGGCGATAAGTGGACAGTCTCAAATCAACTTTAAACATTATTTTTGCCCAAATAACTTGCATTAGTGTATAATTCATCTCGCCAGTATCTCCTTACCTACGACATCAGTCGTCATATGTCATATTGATCTTGCTTCATGTCGGCTTTTCTTTTAAATAGGCTCTCGGCGACTTTAAGTTTTTCCTTTGTAATGAAAACTGACGATGATTGTTTTGTTAACCTGGAGACCATCTTACAGGTTTGTGAAAGCTCTTCAATTACATCTCCCAAGTAGGATAGCGTGGAGGGGCCGAAATCTCCTACCGAAACGTTAACATGCGGCGTTCTAGTGCCTTGCGCTCAAGAAGGTATCGGGAAGCATGGACCGAAAACGGGGTTTTTTGCTTTCGAATTTTATCTTTTTGTTTTCTTCTCATAAAACAAACCAAGCAATGTTTCAATTAACTTCTTATGACCCTGTCTTTTCTGACACTTATAAATAAAGACAACCTTAAACATGTTTTATACCAATTTTATCGGTTTATATCTTTCTGATTTAACTCTCCCATTTACTGTTTCTCATGTATTACGAGCAAACCATACATATGTTTCATGGAAAACAAACAAGGATTATGTGGTTCCCTTAGTTAACATGCGACGCTCTAGTGCTCAACTATCTCGGGTATCGGGAGGCATGGACGTAAACGGGATTCTTTGGTTTTCAAAATTTATCTTTTCTTTACAAGAATTCTTCTCATAAAAAACTAGAACGTCCAAGGATACTTCAAAGGTTCAAACAACTTCTGCCTTTTGAACTATAACTTAAAAACTCTAAGCATGTTTATACGTTTTTACTTATTACCTTTTACAACGTAACTTTCTCATAACTCTCTCGTGATGAACGAGAGCCTCATTATACAATATGACTCTTTCATCATGAACGAACGCATCCATGGGCTTCACGGAAAAAAGGGATTATGTACTTTGTTATGAGAACAAACCTGTTAAGAAAACAGGTTGTTATTTTTATAACTATAAGCTGTGTACAAAAACAAAATGAGAGAAGTCACCATCATGCATAAAATGCATTCTGATACGTAGATGAACACTCGTATTTACTAATTAGCAGACCTGTATATATTATATATTACAGATAAACTTCAAAAATACTTATCTTCAATCTAGCAATCCAGTATCAGACTCTCTTAAATTATTTGGTAAGAGAGTTTTCTGTATTCCAAGAGTTGTTCCATCCATCACCACCTTCTGGGGAATTCTTCCACATAATTCACAAAAAAACCCATTGTCAAAATCAATATCAAGCAACCTTAATAAGAGAAAATTCAATAACTTAATAAAACAAGCGATCACTATCTCAATGGAACATTCATATTTTGCAGCTGAAAATGAAATGATGCTTACCGTATCATGGCAATGATAGCGAGACGAAACTTGGCGTAAGTTATTTCCTTTGGGAAATTCAAACTACTCGAAGACACTTGCCTTTGTACATATGCAACATAATATTTGTACATAGGTAAACTGAACAAGAATAAAAAAGAAAAAACATTCAAAAGATATAGTGCGAGAAAATTAAATAATGGACAAACGTAGCTACTAATGCTTCGGCAAATTTTCATTAAAAAGTACCTCGAAAAGCCGTTATGAAAAGCCGAATGTAATCTTTTAGATCGGCATGAGATATTGCATATGATCCAAACCATACAATCCTGTTTTCAATGCCATCATAATGCTTTTTTCGTAGCACAAGAGGAGCAAGGTCTACAATACACTAAATAATTTATTTAAGTCAAATAATTATGAAGTGAAGCGTAACCTATAACAAATCAGAACTTACCCTTCACATCATGGATTGAACAAAAGTACGCAACTGAACACAAGTCTACGTACAACCATTCATCTTGAATAGAACGTTTATCCCACTCTGCACCACAAGAACAAATACCACTTTCAGATGGCGCCAAAATTTTATGACCATTTTTTTCAGGAAGATCAGTAAAATCGCTTGCATCATTCTCATTGCCTAAAATAATTAAATAGTAATATTTACAAAATGCTAGAAAGTGCTAAATACCATACCGATAAAGGAAATAGTATATGTAAAGCTAAAAGGATGTTCACCATTGCAGATTATCTTGCATACTTGTTTCAAATAAAGAAACCTTTTCTTTGCTAAGTGTAGCCAATTCAAAATAGTCTCGCATCTGGTGTAATTCCAAAGGAAAACTTAAAAAGTGCCAATGGAGAATCCATTTCATCCTCGTCAACGATTTGCATGGCTTTTGCAAGGGTTGTCACATGAATGCAATGATATGACGAATAGCTGCAACATTTTAACTCGGGCTGGGGCGGCATTACTTTTGAATACACTAAAGTACAAACCCCCCATGGACTATTCACTGGTTTTACAGCAATCCACTGAACCTCCCTGCACACTGCACTAAACAAGTCCTAAAATATGTAAAATCATTTACCTTTAAGGTTGTATTATGTGTGTGTATGTATGTGTGTGTATGTATGTGTGTGTATGTATGTGTGTGTATGTGTATGCAGATTAATAATTATGATTAATTATGACTTCACAAAATCCTTAGAAAGTGCTTAATATATATATATCAGGCACGTAAAGCAAATGGTGAATATGACTTTACTATTTTTGTCATACATTTAGTTTATACTACTTAATGTATGTACTGTAAGTATGTGGCTATGTATGTATGTGAGTATGAATGTGTATACCTCAATAGTCATAAATAAATTCAATTTGCCCTGTTGGTTATCACCCTAATAGCTTTATAGAAGCTCCTGAACTTAGGCACAGGATGTATGGTAACAAATTGTGGGGTATTAGAAGGTTGAGAAACAATACGTGTATTTGTACAAAAAAGTTATTTTCACATAACAAAATATACTTCTTCAGGTTGCATCTCATGGTAGGAATGATCACTGAAAACAGACTGCATCATGGATGTGGATTCTGCATTCATAAAAGAAATTCCATGAGATAAATATATTGTGTAAATAATCATTCACAAGTTTTAACAATATTTTTGCTTGTAAAGCTGTGCGGGTTAACATCCACATGTAATAAGAACAATGTCGAACAAGGGTCTTGTAAAACACAGAAGGATGACTTCACAAGGGTTTGAAATGTACAATAAACTGATATTTAAGGATGAAGACATTTTCTCCCATACCACATGAAGAACTTTACATTGAAAAATAAGCCAAATACAAATTTGAGACATTCACTACATGCAATGTCAGATTAATATGTAACAAGTTCTCACATCTTTGACAAGGGTCTTGAAACAAATAGTATGTAAGTGTAAGTCAAAATTTGGTGAAGCTGTTCAGACACCTTATATCCTGAAAGAGTAACACACAACACTTACTTTTTCAATAAAATCTTTGGCTTCAATACCAAACTTTCTATCATACACAACCAGATATTTTTCCATTGCTAATATGTGTATGCAACTCGGATATGGTATATCTGACAAGTACAAAAATGTTGTTTGGCCTGTTTTAATCATTTCATTTCAGTAACATCTATTTTACATACCTTTTTGAGGATCTAATTGTATATTATTAGGTAGGGCATCAACAAATTGCTTTCTATTTGCATCACATGAGCAGCACAATATCCAACCATAGCCATCAAGCAATAGGTGGGGATATCGATGTACAAATACAAATGAATTATGCTGAAGAAAAAAATACATGCAGATTATAGCACCAAAAAAAGCGTATTGAGTAATATCATTTAGTTGGGTATATACCCAACATTGAAATTATGGAAATAAAATTTGACATCACCATAATTGTTCTTTTGTTTGCATTATAATCATGAACAACAAAGGATTGCTGACATGATACATTTGATGCAAAGTCAAACTGTAACAATAGCCCAGTATAGTGGCCAGTGGGTGACAAATGACTCTGAAAGAGCAAGTACACAGTAATTATTAATGTTCACTGTTTCAAAAATATCTATTGTAATATATTTTTATGTTTGTTGAGCACATTTCTACCAGATGTTAATAAAGTTTTGCTAGACAGTGTTTCATGCATAAGCAATCAACAAGCATATTGTCAATTTATAACACATTAAAAACATGACTAGTGGTAAACAGTATAAAGTATAACTGTATATGTGAGAACTACTTGACTATGTTGACATGGTTGTTTGGGTTCCTCTGTAATAATAGAGATAGATTGCTTGGTAAAGATATCTTCAGAGTCCTACAAATAAAGACCATTATTTAATTTAAAATGTGTACAGACTTTTAATAAGTGTTTAAATAATGCATGCCTTCTTTAAATTACTTCAAAATTTTTTAGTTATTTCTAGTGAAAGCAGTCCTACATATAACCACTTCCAATGACTTTTCATGAGAAACAATATCAATATGTACATTAAAAACTTGTGTTTTGGTGGTTAACTCTTGGTGCTTGTCATAATTTTCAGCAATATCTTCACTTTGTTCATTCTACATATAAATTAAAAACCCATAAACATAGCGTATTTTTATATCTACATAGTTTTACAATATATGTAAACTTACCAAATCCCCAAATTCATTTTCTTGTTCAAAAAATTGAGATTCATATGACACACTGCTATTCTATTAACATATATGACATTGTGATTAAAGGATGTAGAGAATCCAGACTTGAAATTGGAAAATGTGCTCCGAATAAGTGTTTTTCCTTACACCACATTGTGGGCATAAATAAATTTGTACACATACTTTTGTTAATATAACTGTGGTAATAAAAATAAATTAATATGAAATTGTGCAACCAGAAACAATAAAAGAACACTTTAAAATTCCTACCGCATCATCTTTTGTGTGTTTCCTTTCCTCTCCGCGTTATTGTAATTTGACGGGAAATGGTTTTTATTCACTCTTACATCTTCTGCCTTTATAATTAGTCGATCTGTATTTGTAAACTAATATTTACAAATGCCCCAAGAGAATCTTTTTATTTTATTGGCTCTTCTACAAATACAATACCATGTCCGACTATTTGATTGCACGAATTTTGTAATTTGATCACGTTTTTTTGACACGTGTGTTTACGATGGGAAAGATGGATTGCTTAAATGTACCTAGTTGTTTAGACTACTTGAATCCATAGTTATCCTGTAATGTATACTCTTGTGAAACACCAATGAGCATACGTAGTGTGTCTTCTATAACCTCTATTCTTGTTCTCCACTTCATCATCTATCCATATTTGTTCTTTTTTAGTTCTCAGCTCAACACAACCCTTGTCTGAAGTTCCTAAAATTTTGATCTACCCAAGAAAGATCTCTGGTGGTAACATGTTAGGTATGGCTAGTGGTTGGTCATCGTCATTGAGCCTTGTGACACCAGTTCAGTACACGTTAATTGTCCTGAAGACGTTGAGGAGGTTGCTAGTAAAGCGTCACCTAAACCAGAAGTTAGTTTTCATGGTATGCTAACGGATTACGCAAACGTTGTTTGAAAGAAGTTCACATGAAATGGTTATGGTCTCGTTCCATCGTCTTCTGAGAAGGTTTCATGTTCATCCTGTATCTTTCACCAAAGTTACAAATATTGAGTTTTTTATGCTTTTTGAAATTGTCGTTTTTATGACTATTATTTTAGAGCATAGATATTGAAGAATCTTGTGGTAGTACAGGTATTTTCAACATTTTTTTGTTGAAAAATTCTCTAGTTTCAATTCTTCGAAATTTCTCATCTTAATTTTCATCTTTACTTTAGAATCCTTTCGATACGAGAAATCGTCGGGATTTGAGGTACTTTATACGATATATTGAATTTAAGTTTTATAGCGTTAATAACTCTCATCTGTCCATCGTAACTTTGCTATGATTCTATGGATAAATTATGTTTTTGTATATAACAGATTATTGATGATCCTACTTCACCTGATGATCCTCACGCTCTTATTTCGCTATCTGGACTTTAACACAAGATCACGAATATGAGACGATAAAGACAAATTCCGGTTACAAATACAGGCGCTGCGTCAAACCGTGGTTCACTAATGCCTTTGAAATCGGTAAAGTCCTTTTATTATTTTGCTTGTGCTTTCTTTACAACTGTAAGTTTTACTCTCCTAAGACTATAGGCACGACCACAACTGATAATCGCCAGGTTGGTATAGTTTCGAGAAGGACTGTTTTTGTTGTTGTTGACTCGTTTCGACAACCTTAGCGGTAGTCATCTTCAGAGTTTTTGACTATACTAACCTGGACGATCTACATTTACAAACATGTAACGATACTCGGGTTCAAACCATTTACTTTGATAATCCCCAGTTTATCTATGGTGAAACTTGTTATAATTCCCATGTATTTTCTTACTCTCTGGAGACTAAATTTTGTATCCCTTTCTTCTTTCCTAGGCGAGGTTTTATTTCTGCTGTGGGTGTTTGGCTTTGTATCCGTGTACGAAATGCTCCCTCGGCGTACAACGAGAAGTACATCGCCTGGTGTATATATAACACTCTGTTTGCTAAGATCGTAGTTGGTCTTCTGAGGTAAGGCAAAATGTTTGCATCGGTGTTACTGTCATTTTTCATGAAAGGTTGAATTGTTGGAATGTTATTAAACAAAAGAATGATAGCATATATGTTATAACCAACAACTAAAACAATAACGACCTTATCAAACAACATTTGAAATTAACCTTCCTCCTCTTCCTTGTAAACGAGACAAGTCTACTCAAAGCAGAAGGGCATAAAGGCCTCTGCCTTTGAGTAGACTTGTCTCGTTTACAAGGAAGAGGAGTGGAAGGTTAGTTCTCAAATGTTGTTAGATAAGGTCGTTATTGTTTGTAGTTGTTGGTTATAGCATTAAAGGTTGAATTGTTTTGACAACATTCTTTTATTTAGAATTGTTCTAGATAACTTTCACAATCCTGATGTGGCGTATGTCGTAAACAGTTTGTCAACGCATGTCATTGCCACCGTTATGTTGGTTTTGCTCTTTGCTTTCAAGGTAATGGTTGTACTGTTAACTTAGTATTAATTACTGCCGATGAAAGAGGATCTTAAAACCTCTCAAAAGCAGAAATTTGTAATCTAGAGAGCTTCGGGTTTTTGTCAATACGTCTATCTACTGGACCTTTTCTTCGTTGAGTTTTGGCTTTCCATCAATGAACGAGTAAGCGTTTTACGATTGATTATGAAGTGTGTTATGATGCGATTGGCAATGAGCCCGAAAAGAAAATAGAACAAAAGCTTTTTAATAGAACGGCCAAGCCCAACTTGAAGAGCTCTCGAAGATAAACACGTCAGATTATCCTCGATGCCTTATATTTTCTTCATTAAATTTTATTTTTCAAAACTTTAAATTGAATATTGTCGTTGAAACACCATATGGTGAACAAATTAGCGTAAACAAATGGCCAAATATGTCTTGGACGTTCGTTTCAAATATCAAAAGAGATTAGCCAAGGGTTACATTCTCTCATCGAAAGGAATCATGCAGCAGCGAAGATACTTATCTCTTTGTTATGCTTTAGGTCACGCGAAGTCGTTTTTCATTAAATTACGAAATGTTTTAGGATACATTACGACACATATTGACTAATGTGGAAGTATGAATGTTATAAAACTGCACGACGCGTTTTTCAAAGGACATTTCTCTGTTTCGAAGCATACTCAAGTATTCCAGTACATAACATTTAATGCTTAATAAAGTAAATGGTTTGAACTCGAGAATCGTTATCGTTTAATGATGATTCCAGGAAGTCCTGAGAAGGATTTTGTTGACGTTTCGATAACCTTAGCGGTAGTCATCTTCAGAGTCATTTTGACACTGACTCTGAAGGTGACTACCGCTAAGGTTGTCGAAACGTCAGTCAACAACAAAAACAGTCCTTCTCAGGACTTTATTAACCTGGACGATCATCATTTACAAACATTTAATGCTTAAGTCAGTCTGTGTACTTGCTGACCTATACCACCTGCCCTCCTCGATATTAAATTTTTCCTGTCTGTTTTAAAGGTATACTTCTTGAAAAAATACAATGTAAATCAAAGAAGGCGTTCTCGGGGTAGTTCGTCTATAGCCACAACGATGACGGATCTTCGTAAATCACCATTTCATCTCAACCGTTTGGACGGTACTTTGGTGTGCGAAACGATGAAGAGAAAAGCCGCGAGGGTCTGGAAACTGAGAATATACAACTGAGGGTAAGATGTTTTGGGAATACTGTTTGAGTACAGATTAAAACGAGGATTTTTCGAAGAATGTTCAAAGAAACAATGTCAATGGTTATTGTCTTAAATACAAAGAACGACTCTCCATTTGCAAAGTGGGTGGCCTAGGTTTGAGGGTTAGGGGAGATTTGTCAGATCATCGCAGAGTTGCTAAAGAACGAGTCGATCGTGAGATGCGCCAGGGTCTGACGGGAAGGTATGGGGGAAATGAGTTGAACTTTGGTCCCTGTGATGGTATTCACGTCCAATTACGGTCTTTCAGTTTCTCAAAACTTGAAAATTGAATGTGTGCTCCTTGTGACAGCACATTATGCATTAAGCCATTTATAGGCGCACGTCAAACAACGTGTGAAATATGCTTTTGTTAAACAACTGCCAAAATCTCAACTCACGCCACACGCGAAAGTGATCATTATCACTTGTAGTTGATTATTATCCCAATTTACAGAGATTATCATCTTCAATATAGAGTAATTATCCTCAATTAAAACCATTGAAATTGTAGCAGCGAATCCGCTAACACTTATGAAATAAGCCGATTTGATGTTCAATTAATGACATTCCTATATTAAAATCATTATCCTTACACTTCTTTCACAGGAGGAAATTACGTGATTTGACTGCGAAACTTGCAGCATGTGAATACAAACAACAACGAGCAGAGACGACAAATCGCTGAAGTCCACAAGTAAAACAGCTACATTTCCACGAGTAGCGAGATCCCCGTCACCCAGATTCAACAGCGAGACGGAGAGCGCTTCCAGGGTCGAGAGCCGGAATCTCCGATAAAATTGGTCAGCAGGCCGAATT